GACACTCCCCACCCCCAGCAGCTGCGGAGGGCATTGGTGTCCCCACCGAGGACAGGAGAGCCCGGATGCCAGCCTGCAAATTCCCACGCTGGGTGCAAGGCTGTGGGGCACCCAGAACGGGCAAGGAGAGTGAAGCTCAGAGGCAGGGAAGCCGAGGGCGCCCTCCCCAGGCCTTACAGCCGCCTTCCTGCAGCTCTGTCCCCCCAGGCCCTGATCCATCGGGCTCAGTGCCAGGGGACCGCAGAGGAGGTGGTAGGGAAGGGAGCCCGCCTGCTAGTCCGACAGCCGGATGCAGGGGCACCACACCTGGGGCTCCCCCGGGGTCCCGACTGCAGGTGCGGAGGCTGCAGGCAGGGGGCCCCCAGACCCAGGGCTGCACCCACGGGACTGGACCCGTGGGGCGGGGAAACAGCACAGCCCACCCGGTTCCCCACCTTCCATTCTCCACGCCATGGGGCTCTCTTCCCTGGGCGCAAGCAAGGCCCACTGCTCACGTCACACGGGCCACCCGCGCCCTGGACGGAGAGGCCTCCTCAGACCCACGTAGGCCAGCACCCCTCACCCCCTGCCCCTCAGCCCTTCCCGCCTCGTTCTGCTTGGAGTATTTCCCACTCACCGGCACGGCATTTCTTCTTGCCTTCCTTCCTCCCTGTCCGCCGCCAGATGTGAGTTCCACAGAACAGGGCAGAACCAGCCCCTGCGCACGGCCCCTCCCAGGCCCGCGAACGGCGCCAGGTGCCCCGGCGGCCATGGTTCACCTACACCCTTCTCAGCACGTGCTGGAGGGACATTGTTTCATTACTGTGACTTTGCTGTTTCTTTTTCTTTCTTCCTTTTTGAAGAAAGAATTAGTTTGGAAAACACTACACAATCTGTGTCAGGAAATCTGCAGTGCACAGTGGCACATTAAAGGCTCTGAGAAGTCCTGCAACATCCCCAGGAGACCCCCTGTACAGCCCCTGACACAACTTGGGCCCTGCCACTCCACCCTGTGCCTCCTCCAAGGGACCCTCAGACGGACTGAGCCCAGCCCACGCAGGGAGAGTTAGAGACGGAGCCACAGACGGTCTCCCCAGCACCCATCCCATCCCAGGGTCCGCATGCGTGGAGTCTGGGGACTTGAGCTGCTCCAGGCCAGGCACCTCATCCGTGCACTCAGGCCCCCACTTTGATAAGGGGAAGCCAGGCCCCGGGCGACTGGGGCTGAAGTATCAGGAGAGTCCAGGCAAATCTGCCACCTGACTGGGATGGTCGTGGAACTCGGAGATACGCAGAGCAGGAGGACCGACACTCCCAGTGGCAGCAGGGGCTGAGCCCAGCTGCCCCAGGGACACACGTGTGCCCGGGGCAGGCCCAGTCATCAGGCACCCCGTCCAGACAGCACTTCTTCTTTCTGGTCGCCTCTGGGTCACCCATGCTGCCTGAGGGCCTCGGAGGGGTCCCAGCACCGTTAGGAGCCCCCACCCTTCTCTCACGGCCGCATTTCAAGGCCACATCCAAGTGGAGACATTTTCCCATGGCCAGCGGAGAGGGGCTGGGCCTGCAGGTGGCAGTGCTCACAGGCTGTCCTGCCCTGCCCCAGCCTGGTCACTTCTCAGGGGCCCTGGACTGCAGAGAGCCTGGACGGGGGTGAGGGAAGGTGCTGGAGAGGGCTAGGGGGACAGCGGAGAAACGAGGAAAGGGGCAGAGGGTGAGAAAGGGGGAGGGCGGAGGCAGAGCCAGAGGAGCTGCCCCCAGGGACCCTCTGCAGGAGGGGGGCCCTTCCCTGTGTCACCATCCTCCCTGCTCACCCTCAGGATCTCGGGGCCGGGGGCTCCAGCACTTGCTGGGACCCCAAGGTCCCCACCCCAAGACAGCTGCTTAATGCAGTCCTGCACCTGCCCCCAGTGCCCCCGAGGGAGGACATGCACAGCAGGGCTTCCAGAAGGCTCTGGCTCCACACGAGCTGGGAAGCCAGCCCTGAGCGGCTGCAAGGCTGAATGAGTCCAAGGGCTCAGCTATGACGTGCGGCCCGCTCCCCAGCCGAGGGGCAGCTGAGCCTCCCCTCCCTGGCCACCCACGTTCCCCGGACAGGGCTCCCCTCAGCTCCCACCTCCCTTCCTTCCTCCCTGCCCCCCACTTCCTCCTGCTCCGGCTCCGGGCAGCTCCCCACACACCCCCAGTGCCCACCCCGCCCCCAGGACTAGCCTGGCCTGTCCATCCTCAGGCCGTTGCTCTGGTGGCTCTGTGCTCCGTCATGCCCTCGTCATATCAGTGTCACTGCGGCGTCTGCCAGCAGCCAGCCTCCCAACCAGAACTGAGTGCCCCACGAGCAGGTGCTGCCCTGCCCAGCGCCCCCGAATCCCCAGTGCCCGGGGGCAGCTGAGCAAAACTGAACGAATGAATGAGTGAAACCACGAACACTGAAAGAAGAAACGAGCCGGCGCCGGCTCCCCCACGTCCCCGGGGGGCAGGATCACACCCTGCCCGTGTGCGCCCCCTCCCCTCCTCCTTCACATGCTGGTGACCCAGACGCGGGGGGGGGGGGCGCAAGTGGCTGTCCCGGGAGGCCAGATCACAGGGCTTTTCCTGACCATTCAAACAACCAGACAAAAGCTAGATACATGAATAAGTAAATCCTGCCCTAAAAACGCGCATTTAAACCCAACAACCAAGAGAGCCAAAGCCTAGCGGTCGCATGCACGTGAGGACCTCGTCCCAGTCCCCCGGCTGAGGCGACGACGGGGACCCCGGGGCCTGGCCCCACAGCCAAGACCCTCCCCCATTTCCCCGCTGCCCCAGCCCTGCCCCAGCCAGCTGCCCGGCCCAGGCTGCCCCCACTCCCCTCCCCCGAGCTGACAAAGGGCACCGGGGTTGGCTCAGGCCCCACCCGCCCACCCGTCACACACCACCGACCCACACACCACCGACCCCCGCCCGCCAGCCAGCCAGGCCAAGGCAGAGCCACCCCACCCTTCCCGACCACCGGCACAGGCAGAGCTACAGGACAGTCCTAGTACTAGACTCGGGGGGGACACTGTCACAGCCCTTGGCGCTGCGGACCCGTCCCAGCATTGGCGTCCTGATCCTGAGAAGCCAGCCCTTGGACCTGTCTCCACAGTGGGCTTCCCAGAGTCTGGCTGGCTGGTGGCCATCCCGCTGCCCCCAAGCAACCCTGGGATGGTCACTCCGAGACACCGGTGACACCAAGGACCACCAGACCCCAGCTCAGGGGTGCAGAGTGGACGACAATCATGGGAACGCTGCTGAGCAAACCTCGGTCTGCACCTGGCCCCCCACCCAGCACGAAAGATGCCCACTCCCCTCCCCCGCTGCCCGGGAAGCCCAGCCCAGAGGGCCACCCCCCTCCCAGCAGCCACATGCTGGGGCGCCGTGTCCCTTCTGGGGCATGAGAGGCCATGCCCTTCCCCACAAACCCAGTGGGAGCCTCAGCGCCAGCCCTTCTCCCGCCCCAGTGGCTTCACGGACTGCTGGAGCCGCCCTGGGCCTGGAGAGCCGCTCACAGCACAGACCCGGGGCTTCAGCCTGGTCTGTGCTGCACCCCTCCTCGGACCCCTCATCTTCCCAGACGCCAGAGCACAGGTCAGTCCTGTGCTCAGAGATGCAGACAGAAGGGTGGCTGTCAGAGCTGGACTCCACCACCCCAGGGGCCGGCGGCCGGCATCCCCTCGTCCCCCCACCCCCGCCGTCCCTCCGCGGCAGTCCTTGTCCTCTCCCCTCCACCTCCCTTCCTGGAGAGAATTACTCATTTCCCCTCCTGGACAAACACCGCCACATCCTCAACTTCTCCCCTTTTCCTGCTGGAGTTCACGGAGGGCAGCCTGTGGTCAGCCCCGGGGCGGGTGAGACAGGCTGGGACACGGCCCTGAAGCCCGGTTCCTGTTCCAGTCCCCGAACGGTCGGCCTGCGGTGAATCCCCGATGTGGGGAGCGGTGGCCCCAGCCACCCCCCGCACCGCAGCCCGGCCCTGACCTCACGCCACGGGGTGCCACATCACGGGGTGCCGCGTCACTGACTCAGGGGACCCCGACCTCCGGGCCAGCCTCCCCAAGGAAGGA